TGCCCCCCGAAATGGGGCTAAGCCATGCTGGCCCCAAGCAGGCACCTGGGGGGGGCTGGGGCCAGGGTCCCCCCCTGCTCCTGGTGCTGCTCTTGCCATGGCCCTGCTGGCACCGTCCCTTCTGCTGGGGCTGGGGAGGGAGAGAGGGACTGGGGTGGGGGGAGAAGAGGAAAGAGAGAGGAAAATAGGAAAAGAGACACACAAAAGGAAAACAGGAGAAGAGAGGACAAAAGGACAAGGAGAAAACAGGAAAAAAAGAAAGAGAAAAAAGGAAAAAGGAAAAAAGGAAAGGAGGAGGAAAAGGAAAAATGAAAAAGAATAGATAAAGATGAGAATAAAAGGAAAAGAGACACACAAAAGGAAAACAGGAGAAGAGAGGACAAAAGGAGAAGGAGAAAACAGGAAAAAAAGAAAGAGAAAAAAGGAAAAAGGAAAAAAGGAAAGGAGGAGGAAAAGGAAAAATGAAAAAAAATAGATAAAGATGAGAATAAAAACAAGAAAAAGAAAGGAAAAAGAAGGGAAAAAGAAGAGGAAAAGGAGGGGAAAAAGAGGAGAAAAGGAGGGGAATGAAAGAGAAGAAAAAGAGAAAAAGAAGAGAAAAGGAGAGGAAAAGGAGAGTAAGAAGAAAAAGAAGAAAGTACAGAAAAAGAAGAAAAATAGAAGAAAAAGAGGAAAAGGAGAGGAAAAGACGATAAGAGAAAGAAAAGGAGATGAATAACAGAAGAATAAGAGAAAAGGAGAAAGAGAAAAAAGAAAAAAGAAAAAGAGAAAAAAGCAGAAAAAGAGAAAAGGAGGAGAAAAAGAGGAGAAAAGTGGAGAAAAAGAGGAGCAAGAGAGGAGCAAAAGAGGAGCAAAAGAGGAGAAAAAGAGGACAAGTGAAGGAAAGACGTAAGGGAAGGCGAGGACCAGGAGGGGAGGGGAGGAGGAGGAGAGAGAGAAGCAGAAAGCAGGGGACAGCGGGTGTGGGGCAGCGGGTGCCGGCAGGTGGCGGGCCCCGGGCAGGCGCGGTGGT